CATATCCGAGCGACTTCTTGCTTGTTAAAGTAATCAGATGAGCATATAAACGATAATGTAGCAAAAAGGCACGAAAAGAGCAACAGAGTTTCTAACCTGCACGTGCTGTTTTCATGGATGGCAGTAATTTAGGCTTACCACTCTCTAGGGATCGGAGACGATATCAGTCAGTGTTGATCCTACGGGTATACTCGCATCTGTGACAATTTTGCAACCAAGTTACTTTACTGTGGCTATTTTCCATTTTTCCAACCAACTCTGATTATTCTTATCTGGGTAACAACAATCGTGATAGCTCTTGCAACCTGGTTGCTTGTCTGTCACACCGGCATAATCAAATGAGAAATGGGCGCATTACTCGGTTAGTTATCTAATTTCATAGCTTTCGATTGCACGTCACTCTTCGAGTTACTGTTTGCTATTTCAGCTTACCCGGGCAACCAAAGTTGCTTTTTTCCTATGACCCATTATCCTCCTTCTCCCAATTTTCTCTAGTCTCACCAGCATTATCAATCACAATGAAGCGGCCTTTTAGTCCTTTCGCTTTGACAAGGCCCAACGAACGCCACTGAGACCTCATTTAGAAAATGCTGGGCATCTTAATGAGATTCGTTGGCAGTCTGGCATGTGTCTTGTGGTCGATACAAAGCAAGTTGGTTCCCATTGAAATTTCCTTTAATCCGCACAGCACTCAGACAGGCCAATGAGTTAAAGTAAGTCTTTGATGTTGTTGCTATAAAACGGTGTTAATTTAGGCTGCATCTTTTTAAAAGCTAAGGTTTGATGCACTTCCGTCGCTATTGATAGAAAGAATGAAAGGAATGTTTTTTCTGGTTGATGGATATCTGTTAAGAGCAAAAGGTATTTTCTACTCATTTTATTCCCTATCAGTTTTGCTAGTTTTACTGCCTCCCTCCCACGCCCACGCTTTTCTACTCTGTGAATTTGTGCACTGAGTTCCCTTCATCTCTTCCATTTCACATCCCGTGGTATGTACTCGCCAAATAAGGGCTGTTTTATTCTAACTTAGGCACAGAAGCATGAACATACTTGTTTGCGAGGTCTGTACAGTGGAATTTTAAGCGAGATTCTAATTCACTTTCTCTACTAGTTTTAACATGCAGCATTCAGCCGGTTGTTTTACTAGACTTCCAATCATGCTGTTTGTTATACAGTCTGTTATCCAACAGCACGTTTTGAAATAGCTTTTGTGTGCTTCTATTTATCGGACTGTTTTAACACTCGCTTAACTTGGACAAAATTTAGCCGCCTATATTTTCGCATAAAAATACTAGCACTTCGACTTCGATTGCTCTAGCTTTCCAGTATGAAACTTACTTTGTCAGCAAATTCACGGCGGGCTCTTTAATTTAGTACAAAGCAGTGAACAGGGAACTTTATTGTCCTTTTTCTTATCAGATCCCTCGCTGCTTCCTCTGTTTGTCCTTATTGCTACTATTAGTTTCAGCAGGGTTTATCCAAGTATTTTTCTGTCGTAAAATCATATCAGGCAAAAGAAAATTGTTACTCCTAACTTATAATCGCCTTTGTCGGCTCATGAACATAGTGTGCGCTCCGAATCGACCTTATCTCAAGTGATTTTATAGTGCCCTTTCTTAAACACTGAAGTGTCAGAGAATCTTTACCACTCAGAGTGAAGAGTACTTATTATTTCTTAATAAAGTTCAAGATTATTTTCTGCTGTAATATGGCCTAACATTGCCAGTGTATAAAATATGCTAGGCCCACCCGAATTCCGGATATTGTTGGTGCCTAATCATACCTTAAGCGTATCCACATTCAGATACAATCGTTTGGGCATAAGCAGTGTGGAAGGTGATTTATGCATTCAAATAATCCTCCCCCAGATACCTTTCGAAATTTTTTAATGGCTGAAATTATGGAATGTTCCTAGAGTCGCTTACGTCTTAAAACTTTACACGATGTCATTTGATTGTGAGACAGTCCAGTCCATTTGATTCCTTTCCAGAGATGATTTATGCACTCCACTGTCTGCAGCGCAGGCGACAGAGTATGAAATTGAGCGTCCACTATGTGCGTACTACTTCACAGATCTAAGGACTAACACTGAATCGTCAAAATAAATTTTCTGCAGCCCGATGATGATTCTACTGTCATCCCAAATTGGTGCAGTCCGCCGAACCAATATAATCTGGTATTCCGCGATATTTGCGGCAGAAAAGAAAATGATATTCCATCGTTGGGGACAAATTTGCACATCCCCCTCTGACCAACCTTTAACGGGGTCGAAAGTCCACTTCAAATTGCATGGTTGATTCTTTACGGCCAACTGCTGTGGTCTCTATCGTTTCCGTCACTCTTTACCTGTCTAAACATTACAGAATTCACACAAAATGCAATAGGATATACATCGTTTTGCTTCCGTTTACTCACCTTGCATCTAGATTGCGACGCAGTTTACAATCTGGGATCACAATTTACTTTGAATTAATCATTGGTTGTTCCTATCCATAGGAATAGATTCGAAGAGCTGAGTTTTGGCGTTCAATTCGTGGTAACCGAAACTCCAGCTGAACTCTAACATCACAATTTATGCACTTTGACGGTTGTGAGACCCAAGAATAAATTCCTAGCTATAGGATACCATGAACGAAAGACATCTGGATGAGATGACTTGTGTAAGGGAATGCAAATTGCAAAGGTCCCGCCTCATGCGCTTACCCGTTTCCCTGTTTTTGCGGTAGCACTTCCGCGTGAAGGCTATCATCTAGGATCATGAAACATGTTCCACGGAACCTACATCGGGTGGCTCTAAGCTTCCTTCCAATTCAATCGCCCCGGAGTTTGCTGTGTTGCACTTGGTACGAAAACTCTCGTGACGTATTCAAGATTTTCAGCAAACAGAATCGTCTGAATTTGCTTTGATTTACAAAGGCTTCCGCCATCCGGCGACTGAAGCCAAATCTCTGCAAACCGCTCTACTTCATGGCCAACGTCGTCTGGCTCTGATAACACGTAGATCCCGTTGTTACTGGGGATGTACTCTAATATCCCAGTTTCCAATGCAATCTTCTAAGTTTCCCTTTTAATTTACATTATTATGATTCTTCCACTGAAAATCTGGCTGGTTGAAAATAGATGAAATAAACCGAAATTAGTTTATTCCGCCCAAATGTTGTTCGTTCTCACCATTCTAAAGTTTTTAAAATGAAGAACGCTGTATAGTATTCCTAACTGATGCAGTGTGCATTTCTGTCTGAGCCAAATATCTTAATGAGCATGTCTCTTCTTTTGAAATGCTACTCACGGGCTCCATTCTCGGTTTTAATTATCCTGGCCTGAAGATTCCGAATTAGGAAGAAACCGATGCCGGAATGCGATACTGGAAGACATCGACGACGAAAGCGACCATCCCCGAGCGCACACAATCTAACGTGTTGGCAACAACTTACCTATTCCGAGAACTATTCTGTCGGTTATGGCGTCAGACATGAGCCACTAGGCTCTGAGTTCCAGCCCAGCTCAGGCTATCTCCACCTGATGAGTCCAAACCAGGACGAAACCGCGGTCATGGGTGCCAGTGTTGGGCTGAGTAACACCATAATGTTTCCACTATTCTGTCACCTATTCTATATGCTGTACCCGCTTGCCAAATGAATGTCCTAATTGCGAACTTTGATTAGATTTACGAACAATGACATATCTACTGCCAACCATCTGACTGTGGTCTGTTTAGACAACATATTAATCCATGTGCACTATCTCACGACGTGTTCAAAGTCTCCTTACTCTTCAGTGAACGCTTGAGAGGACTACGGTGCTCTTTCCTCACTTAATTGTATAAATTACTTGCGACTACTTCCGATAGAATCTTCCAAGCACAATTTATGGTGCTCATCTCAGGTACAGAATGGTATCTGCCCGAGATGGATGTTTGTATTTCAGAATTTTCGCCTGAATTTCACTTTCACCCCTTGATGTCTGACTTTGCTTTTTACCAGTTTATTTTCTAATCCGTTAGACGTATGTCTTACCTTTGCTTTTTAGCTTTATTGAGTGTGGATTTCAAAGCAACTAGGAGGTCACAGAAATATCTAACTCAGTGTAACTGTAAAACCAAATCATGGTTATTTGGAGTGTGTGGTTCCGCTCACGTTATTATACATAAACCATGTGTCACCCGTGATCCTAGACGTCGGTCACTCTCAGCGTAATGTGTTATCCTTAAGTGCATCCACTACCTCGATTTGATGGAAGTAAAATAACTTTAAATATCTGCACAAATGTCTAATGCTTCGGCTGTCTCTTATCTGCTGCGCTTTTTGCTACACCTTTAGTAGAGAAGTATTTGGTACTTTCAGTCTGCTCTGTCTTTTGGACTGTTCCGTTTATTAATATTCAACTCCGGCAATTTCGTTTACTATCATTGTTGTAAAGGGCATGTTTGAGTTAAAAATTCCTCCTTTTCGGTTGCATAACGAACATCTTTGTGTTTGCTTAAATGCCGTGTGTTCTGCGGCCGAGGTTGGGCATTGACGTACATGCTAATTCGATCGAATTTCAAGAACCATGCCATCCTCAACTACAGAGTTCAATACTTCGTCTCTGGGTATTGTTTCGGAGTATTGTTATTCGGTGAACAGTTCAATTGACTACTTCTTTCTGAAATTACAATATGTGTACTCCACAGGAACGTTCATTGCTCTGAATGAATATTTGAAAATTATGGCTTATGTCGACCAATATGCTGTACGTGAATCTAGGCTGTGGCCTGAGTAAGCCATCAACCTTATTTCATGCAGTGCGCTGTTACTAAATGTCTTCAACTACATGGGAACTACAGCGCTACGTAGATCAGACACTAAAGGGATAATCCAACCAACAAAAATGTTTACAAAACCATGGAATCACATAATAACCATTGTATAACTCCAGCAGCTAGTATCTAATAGAAAAGAGGAAGAATACCAACAAACTTTGTTTCGTTTCAATGGCATCTTACCCGACAATCCATAAAGTCAAACTTGATCGTTCTTCACAAATATAAACTCATTGTAATGTTGCCAACGCAATTCTTCCTCGTCTTGTCCAAATTTCACATCACTTGCAACTGAATTGGTGCCGGAAGCGCACGCACTCACCAGATCGTACCCATTGTTGCAGAGAAGGTCGAACGCCTGTTCTAGTACAGAATGCTTGAGGTAAAATCGACAGGAGTAATTATTATCAATATCCGGTTCTCGAGTGTCGTTCAGGCTATCACCAAATATGCGCCGGCATTCTTGAGTTTGACCTGACACAAGAATCCGGGTTAGCTTACGGAACCGCAGATCTGTGCTTCCGTCTCGAGTGGAGCTAAACGTTCCACGATATCCAATTGTGATACAAGTGCGTCTGTACTTCATTTGCTCAGCTATGGCTTCGGCCATTTCATTGAGCTGATAAAACTTTGCTTCTTCGGACAGCCGGAGTAATTCATCCCGGCGCCTTGGGATGCTCTGCTTCCCGACACGATAGAAGTCCAGTACAAAGGAAAAAAGGTCTGGATTGCGATCGATAAATAGTCGTCCGCTCTCATCTCGTAATGCCAGTGGATCGTTGATCAATCTGCACAAGTATGAGTTTGGAATTCGTTGTAGTGTTTTCGTGGTGGTTGCAAACACTTTACCACCGACGTTAAGGTACAAGATTTTAGGTTCCATTTGGCACTGGGAATTTAAGGTCTATACCCCAGGTGGTTTTGCACGGACCACATCATTTCACCACTTCAGGACGATTTCCACTTAATTATGGGTGTCAAACACATCCTGACCACTACTGGGTTCGGTAAGCCGTCTACTACAATTTGATTGGTTCTCCGAACGAGGTGAAGCATCATTGGCTCATATGGTAATCTGTATGCCTCCCTGATCAACACTGTTAACTGTGTAGTCGAATGATTACTGGTATACTGTTGGTTGGAAAGATGGTGTGGATGATACGACGCGTTCATTGCCATTAACTGGGATTCTAGGGACAAATATAGTTATCTGGAGATCAAGTAAGCAATTTGTAAACCAATGAATGGCTTTGGGACAATAAGCGATTTGGATGTCATCAGTATTGGCGCCAACAGAGTTGTCCACAGGAACAACCATGTTAGCTGATGCTTTAACACACTCGTTGAGGTAGGTCTCCCGAAGTGCTGTCCAGTGTCTGATTAGTGGACATTCATCACATGTCCACTCCTAATTTAACCATCGCTGATGACTCGAGAAACCATCGGCTAACCCAACGTTGATCATTATGGTGAAATGCACCAGGTAGCCTACTGAGTGTGGTTTCAGTCCTGTCTTAGTAATCACTGTCACGGGAATTACTTTAGCGTTCAAGTTTATCAGTAATCGTTATGAATCTGAGGTTTTCTCCTTCTCTAGTGACAGTATTTCCCTATCAAGATGCAACAAACATGGAGCGGTGGTGTAAAATCGGAAAAAGCAATCAAGATTTGACAAGTTCAGTGGCATGATCATTGTGAAATATACAAGTTCAAAAATATGCTAGCAAATAAACGGTGCATCTGTGGATAACCTATTATTAACCTTAATACATGAAATTCCGTCTACTTAGATTTAGTGGGGGCTGGTGAGCACCATGTTTGTTTAAGTCTTGTCGGCACTCGGTAAACAAAATTCATACCACGTAATAGAAATGGTTTGATTCGCCGCTGAGTCGTAAGCGTAGAACCACCTGACAAATTCTGAGAACAAATTTCCAACGGCATTCGAGCCAACTGTATGTAGTGAGCAGTTCCAGCTGGTAACCCCTCAAATTGTGGTGCGGCAAAGTTTAAGGTGTCCACAAACGTAAATAGGGTTTCCCAACGCTTAACAAAATCAGGACAAAGTCAGCCCGTAAGCGACGATAACTTTCAGTACAGTCCCAGGGCTTTCAGTCAGGTTTGAGAAGACAGAACAGTCGCTTCCCATTTCCTCTCCTTCACTGTGGGTATCTAGTGCAACTAGATCGCGGTTTAGCCACGTTTGCTAGACCTGAATCTCATACTCTATTTCGAACCTTAACTACTCATTGAGCATTTACGGGAGGATGGAACAATGGTATATGACGGGTAAAAAAGCATACACTTAACGAGTCCCGCAGGTTGGCAATAGAAATACTAACAAATAGGCAAACCACATAAGTGGTTGAAGTAAGGAGCGTCAGTGAGATAAAAGGTAGAAGTATAACAGTTTTAGGGGGATAAAGTGGTACGACGCAAAACTGGCTAAGAAATTGTTATCGTTGGTGATGGTAGCAAATAAAAATGGAATACTCACCGATTCGCACAGATTTACGACCGTGAATTTGGGGTATAAATCCAAAGAGGCTGGTCAGCCTAAATATATACAAGCGTTTTCGTTCATAAAACAAAGCGCAGGGCGCTCAGTGCGACGTCCAATCGTTTTTTAAACGTATCTAATGTGGGGGCACAAACAACTGAGTTTGGAAGGGCGTTCCAGGGCCCCCAGACCCGGAGGGAGAAATAGGTTCTCCGACAGTCTAGACGACTGTACTGTTGTCTCAGCTTTAAACTGTTACCGCGAAGGTTAGTGTTCGGGCTGAGCTTCAAGAGGTGGCGGCATACGTGACTGGGATCGCTCAATATCTGGTACACTAGTATGAGGTCTCCACGAAGTCGCCGGTACCGTCCGCTGAACACTCCGAGTACCTCCAGTCGTTCCTGGTAAGGAGTGTGGCGCAAGCCCTTGACGATTTTCGTTGCTCGACGCTGTGGGGTCTCAAGCGCTGCAAGGTCACGTTTTAGCCAGGGTTGCCAGGCCTGGATTGCATATTCGACTTGAGGACGCACCTAGGCGTTCAGCATCAAAGAGAAGATGGATGGATCCAAAATTCCGAATGCTCTTCGCAGGAGTCCAACGTGCTGGTTGCCCCTTTTAGAAGCGGAATCTGACTGTTTGGAACACCCGAGGTCTTCCTGTACCAGCACACCCAAGTCGCGTTCCTGAGTGGTGGTCTTCAGATCGTGTGCCCCAAGCTTGTAGACGTGGACTTGTCGATGGCGGATATGAACAACGCGACATTTGTTCACATTAAACGGCAGGGCGTTTCTCACCGACCAATTCCAGGCCTCATTCAAGTCACGCTGTAGGACTTCATGGTCGTCCGATCATTTTATCGCCCGCCAAACCTTGAGGTCGTCCGCGAAGAGTAAGAATTTCGACGTAATAACTCTTACTAGATCGTTAATGAAAAGCAGGAACAAACGAGGCCCAAGTACCGAACCCTGCGGTACGCCGCATCCCACTCGAATCGGATCGGAAAAGGATGATCGAACTCTAACTTCTAACTGCCGTTCAGAGAGAAAGTTACCGATCCATCCTAACAACGGGTCTCCGATACCATACTGTTGGAGTTTAATGAGCAGGATTCGATGATCCAGGCGATCGAAGGCTTTCGAAAAGTCCAAGAATGCAACATCGACTCCTGTTCCCTCATCGACAGTCTCGGTCCAGTTGTCACGAGCCATCAGCAGATTCGTCGTACATGAACGATGTTGACGAAACCCATGCTGTTCTGGCGCAATTATGCCGTAGTTTTCCAAGTATCCCATTAACGCATCTGCTATCACCGCTTCCATGACTTTGGCGATCACAGGCAGAAGCGTTACGGGGCGGTAATTGGCAGGATCCGCTCGACTTCCTGCTTTGTATATGGGCGTTATTACACCTTGTTTCCACCTCGAAGGTACGATGTTCTCATCGAAACAGCGCTGAAAAAATGCAGCTAGTGGTTCGGCCAAGTGGATGGCAGCTACCTGTAATGTTTTCGGGTGAATGTTATCGGCCCCGGGAGAGCTGTGTGGACGCAAGGATAGCAGCTTTTGCAGCACCATTTCTGCAGTGAACGTGACGTTGGATAAAACGGACGGTGGGGTAACTAGTGGCGGAATATACGTCGAGGCTTGTACACCTTGGAAGATTGGGGAGTACTGGGCCCGTAATGCGTTGGCCGCCTCCTTCGCAGTATGCGTATACCCATTGGTCGTATTAAATGGTGGGATTCCCCGTTGCACCTTGTGAAGTCCATTCACATGTTTGTAAAGAAGCTTTTTGTTCGAACAGAATCGTTTGGCTAGCTCCTGCTGATGCGCTCTCTTGTCTTCGCGAACCAAAAGCACACAGTAGTTGCGATGCGAAACGTATTCCGTCGAACTGCCCAAACGCCATTCGTAAGAGGCCAAAATGTTGGTTTCCGGTTTTGGGCACCTTCACGGATTGCTTCGAACAACCGAGGTCATCTCACATCACCACTCCAGAGTCGCGCACCAGTGAGGTTATTTTCAACATGTGATCAAGCTTATGTGCTTTGATGAGCTTGTAGCATATGTGGGCTATTTTACGTTTTCTAGTGTTGAACAGAAGCGGATTAGTGTTTGACCATTCAAAAGCATGGTCCAGACCTCTTTGCCTCGTATCGTGACATTCCTAACTACCGAGCCCTTGCCATATATTGATGCCCTCGACAAAAAACAAAAATTTCAGCTCATTGACACAGACATGGACACTGAGGAAACCAAGAATAACCGTGACCAGTGTACTAATTTTTTTGGATGACTGGATTCCCCTTCAGTAGTATCGGACATTGAGCGCCCAATTCACATGTCCAGCCGCCAATGAAGCACAAGAAAGTAACTAATTCCTCCAAACGCGTAGAGTTCCAACATCGTAGGTTTACAGCTTTTGGAGCATGGTTCGGTTATCTAAACGGTGAGAAGACACAAACTGTTGGGGAGACACAAAAGCAAAAGGGGGCCAGCAAATAACTTCCTGGACGTCCGGTGTTGGAAGACAAGCGCATTTGAGAAAATTAATCCTTCTCTGATGTCTGCATTGTGTAGTGTGTTGAAGAACAAGGTCCATGAGTAATCTGAACAGGAACGAGATATGTTATGTCATCAACAACCTGAGCAACCAAGTAGACCACCATTCGAAGAAGGGTTTGTGATAATATACCAAGGGGAACATCAATATAGTTACTGAAAACGTTTGTATTACAATGAACAATGAATTTATACGGGTTAAGAAGCGTTGCTTTACAAGCCCCGTTGGATAGTTGGTGGGGATATCAACATAACAATTATGATGAAGAGGATAGTAAAATAGTTAATACTTTAAATACGAAAATAAGGACTTATCGTTTGCTTCGCTGCAGTCATGCGATCCACTTAGATTCACAACACCCACAGTTAACAACAAATAATTCCATGCTAAACTCCAGGTGTAGGATGGAGACATAGTGTTAAGTAACAAAGTGTAAGTGGATGAGTGCATCGTCCAACCGTCTTTTAAATATTGTTAGTGTCGGTGCAGAAACGACCGATTTTGGGAGAGCATTCCATGGGTGACAGACACGGATGGAAAAGAAATTTCTGCGGCACTCCAGACGACAGTATTGTTCTGCGAGTTTCAATGAGTGGCCCCTCAGGTTTGTATTGCTGCTGAGTTGCAGTAAAGGGCGGCACACATGATGTGGGTCTCGCAGAATCAAGTATGTCATAATCAGGTCGCCTCGTAGCCTGTGATAGCTTCCACTGAACAATCCTAGTCGTCGCAGCCTCTCCTGGTAGGAACGATTGCGCATTCCAATGACGTTCTTAGATGCCCGGCGTTGTGGCTGCTCCAGTGCATTAAGATCGTGTTTC